TTGGGTGGTTTTATAACATTGGATCAAATTATTTTATTTCAAGTCTTTTTCTGATTTCACAATTATTATTGGGGCAGTGTCTGTTTTCCTGACATGAATCTTTGCGTATTTGACCCATACATAACGAAAATTCAATTCTATTGCCGCTTTTTTAGTTTTCGAAAGCAGGATTTTGTTTTTAGTCGTAAGGTGATCGTTAATATAAATCCTACAGTTTCCTGATAAGCCAATTTGATTGGCGGTGAGGGGTATGTTCTTAAGTTCACATCTGGATGCCGCGATCAAATCTTCCTTAACATATCGGTTACAAAATCCAACTATTATTGGTTTTGTATGTTCTTTATCACGCGTTGGCACTCTGGTTATAAAGTTGATCTGATTTTTTGTGATAGGATAGTTTATTCTTGCACCAATCTGCATTACAATATTGAAGAAATTCTCATTTGCCGCTTGTGGGACCCCTTTAATCTCTATGTTATTCATGCGATTCCACTGATCCCGGCTGCTAGATTCTTTCTCCAATTTTTCGACGCAAGTCTGCAAGGTGAACTTAATTATATTTAATAAATGCTCACGCATTCAAAAGCTTAAAATTCAAATATGGTCCTTCAATGGGAACGCAGATGGTTTTGTATTTTTTGATTATAATACATTAAACTTCGAAAGATTGAAAAACAGCTGAAAAAAGCTCGTTACGAGTAAGCTCGGACCGAGTGCGCTCGGATGATTACTCGGATCAATGCTACTTGTATCGTGTAAACACGCCAGATTATAATACATTAAACTTCGAAAGATTGATAAACAGCTGACAAAAAGCTTGTTACGAGTAGGCTCGGACCGAGTGCGCTCGGACGATTACTCGGATAAATGCTACTTGTATCGTGTAAACACGCCAGATTATAATACATTAAACTTCGAAAGATTGATAAACAGCTGACAAAAAGCTTGTTACGAGTAGGCTCGGACCGAGTGCGCTCGGACGATTACTCGGATAAATGCTACTTGTATCGTGTAAACACGCCAGCCACAGAGATAAGTATGACGCCAGTCACCCAAGTGCACTCGGACGTCGGCAACCGATCAGAGCGAACACGAGCGCGGTTCTATTTTTACGAGCTCACTCGGATCATTTTAAAAAAAAATGGCGTCAACAAAAAAAAGTGGAACGAACGTGACACTATAGGGTTTGTCGAACTATATGAAAAGGAGGAAGTGTTGTGGAATGTAAGGCTAAAAGAGTATAAAAACAAAGACGCCCGAAATGCTGCAATACAACGCATAATTAATAACCTACAAATTCCTGGACTTACGCTACAAGACGTAAACAACAAAATTAATAATATCCGGAGTACATACTCGCAAAAACTGTTAAAAATAAAAAAAAAGCCGTGTGGTGTCGTGGGACACCCGATAGGAACGAAGTTGTGACGATCGAGTAAAACTGATTTGACACGATTTTAATTACAACGCCATCTATGAAAGCGGCTATTACCTACATATTAAAAACAATTAAAACAATTTATACATTGGTAAAATCTCCTTGCGAAATGATTTCCTATCTATTCGATAGATGGCGCTGAATGTCTGACAAGATGACACGAAAATAAAGAGCAAAAAGCCAACATCACGTGGTATTCCCAGGCGGTCACCCATCCAAGTACTAACCACGCCCGATGTTACTTAACTTCGGTGATCGGACGAGAACCGGTGTATTCAACATGGTATGGACGTTGGCGAACGTTAAAGCAAATTTAATGTATGGTATCCACAGTTAGACGTCAATTTATATTAAAAGTGTCATTCCAAATTTTCGTACGAATTTTTTCCGTCTAGCCCCCTTTCACAACGCGCGATAAGGAACTTCGTTCCAATAAAAACATCAACAGGGACTGGATCTGCTGCAGATGAAATGTATGTTCCATCATTGGCATGGTTTAAAACTGCAGACAGATTTCTATCGTATGTAATCAAAAGCAGAAAACGTTCTATGAATGTGGTGAGTTTAGGTTTAACAATTAAACATAAAATCCATGGTCCATACTTACTTCCATACTAGTGATGGAAATTATTGCTACTTTAAAATCATAATTATATTATGGAATGAGTGGTTTCAGTCTGCAATTTTACCTGTGAAACATCACAATATGTATACCCACATAGACAAAGATAAATGCCATCAAAACATTTTGAATTTTCTTGTTATCTGAATACGACCTTTTTTTTAGTTTTAGACCTTTTGCGAGTCTGGATTTCTAATTTTCCATACTGATATTGCAGATAAGCTCCGCCCGCGTGTATGTTGGTTATCGCAGTAAAAAGTAGCCTATTGCTCGCTGATAATGTAGCTTTCATTGGTGAAAGAATTAGTTGTGCCCTTTTGATTATGACTGTAGGCCTTAGAATTGTTTTTGACTATGAAAGCTCTGTTTTGCCATGGAAATGCCCTAGAGAAGTAGACTCCATCGCAAAAAAAGAACTTATAACCGTGATAGACCTAAAAAAGCTTCTTGATATATTGTAATTAAACTAAATTCATAACATATCGGGGGGTACACAACTAAATTTATTGTCAATTTGTTTTAAAGAAGTATTTTCAAGATTTAAGTACCTAAATATCTCTCTAATCATTTGTTTGATATTGAGCATGTTTTAACATAATCTTTATTCAATTTTGGAGAGTTCAAATAAATATTTCGTTTTTTGGCTTCATCAGGCTTAACGGAAAGGAAATTAATTATCATCACTCAACATTAGCACGCCACCTGTTCGGTAGGGACTTGTGTCTTTATTGTCATTATTCATTTAGATTGAAAATATGTCACCGTTTAATCATTTCCTCCTAAACCATGGAAATATAAAAAAAGGTAAACATTTAACTTCGAAAGGCTGATGATGATGATGAAACATTTACAATATTGTACCTACTTTTATGTTCAATTGCTATTAAAATTTAATTACCTAATTACTTTTTTTAAGGAATAATTCGTAGTTGTTTTGTAATTCGTAATTCGTTTAGGGCGAAGGTGCGGGCTCTTCTTGACCGGAATTTAGCGGAATCATCACAAATATGATACTTTATATATTATGGTACCTATATATGTATGTGTATATATATAACACAATATATATGAATATGAATGTATGTATTCTTGTATGTATGCGTTGGTATTTATATATTATTTCATTGCTTTTTGCTCAGTATTGCTATCATTACTTCTTTTATGCCCACTTTATAATTCTCAACCAAAGGGTAGTGCACCTCCACACTCATTTCCACACCACCCAAAGGTAGACTGGTAGAGAATGCCTATGGCATTAAGTCCGCCATTGTACTTATGTGCATAAAGTTGATAAATAAATAAATAATAGCAAATGACTACCACCGCCCATGAACGCCTGCAACTCAGGAGCTCTTAGGAGTCACAAGCGCATCGCCAGTCTTATAAATATATTATTATGCTTACTTTTATATTTTTCCACCAATCCATGATAAGGTCATGAATTATTTTACTTATCAGTTTACGGACATGGAAGAAAGATATATAAAATAGAAGTAATTAACTAAAATTTTCTAATTATTGCTGCTGCATCCGCAGAAAGCCTCAAACAGCCAAATACCAAAACTTAGTAGGAAATTACCACTCAGACCACACAAGATGGACACAGACAACAAGCAAAGCAACTGATCAACACTTCTCGTGATCAGAAGTCAAGTTTTTTTCTAGCACAGAAATTTAAATGAAATAAGCAACCTTTTAAATCCAAACATTAGTAGCATGGTCTCATACTTATTATAATATGTGATACTTCTATTAAAAAGTTTAACCAATCATAATGCACCTAAATCATGCTAAGTTCAAACATGTTGTCTATATCTTTCAATGCCACATATGTCTGTCTATAATGTTTAGAGACTTCCTACAATTTCTAGATGATTCTATCATCAGATCCTCACCTAATGACAATTGGAACAAACTAGGAATTTACTTAAATAGGTATTCACCCATTACCAGGGATTTCCTTTCCGGTTCGAGTCCGACATTGCTACCTTTAAGTGGTATCCGAGGGGATTTCCGCACAGAAAAATAAAAAAAAAGGTATTCACCCATTCAAGTAAATTAGGGAACATACATAAAAAATCTCCCCCTTAAAAGTTACAAGTTATTTTATTTTGACCTCAGTGAGTCTAAATAATTTACCAAATAATTATCTCAATATGATCAACATAATTACAATAAACAATTTACTAGGGAAAAATAGGTAAAGGCAAAGGTTTCTTAAAAAAGTCCACATGCAATCAGTCAATATGTACTTGAATTTTCATTAAAGTTACCATTTAATCAAATTGTAAATACTTGTAAAAGGAATGTCATCATGCAACAGATTAATGAAACAAACTCAGTATTCAGCATATATCTAGTTATTATAGTTTATGTGAAGACATTTAATTTATTGTAAAACTAAGTGATATTAGTATGTGAATTTAGAACTTACCTACCAGAAATATAGGCAACTCTTTACTTGGAATGAAAACTATGTTATTGCATGCATTTAGTCGGTTCCAAAAATTAAGTGTTCCAATAAATACACATTTCTATTATATACATAGTGTAGTCATAAAATATTACCATATTTGTTGTTGTCTTGATATGTATCTTTCGGAATATACCCAACATAGAATCAACCAAATGCATACTAAATGCATATATATATACTAGGGCTCTAATACACAAATTCATATTTTACTGTCATAATAATTACTTAAAAATTGACACACTAATATTTTTATGATCATTTACTTGTATTAATTTCCATTATAATCGAGAGCAATTAGATATATTAAGTCACAATTCATTAGCAGCAGATTTGATACTGAATGAACATTGAATAAAATTTAACTTTTTAACTAAGGTTTGTTTTGTTTCATTGTCATAAGCTTTTGACTTTTATTATTGGTTCCTGACACTTATATGTAGCAATATATATTTTTAGATAAAGAATCAAACATCATCCAATGTTGGTAACCAAAATGCCATATTGGTACATGCTGAAGCCAGCATCATAAATTTAGGATTGAATTGTACACATTGTATTGGTGCAGGATGATCACCATTTAAAACACACACTTTGTAACCAGTGTCAGCATTCCAGACATGAACTCTTCCATCTGTGGAGCCACTGAAAATGTATTGAGAATCTGGACTGAATGATGCTTCTATGGGTATACCTTTATTATTAAGATGCCCAGTAAATGTCTGCAAAGGTGTACCATGGTATGCATCTACTAAACGGATTATTGACCCATTTGTACTGATTAACATTGTTTTACCATCTCTGGAGAATTTCAATCCTGTCCAGTCACATTCCTTTTCCTGATTTAATTTAAAAGTAACAAAAGGACCTTTGTCAAATGATCTTAAATCGTATAGTTTGATACTTTCTGAATTAACACCCGCAGCGAATATCAGTCCTTCAGGGTCATAAGCTGCAACAGGTCTTCCTGACAAATGCATTAAACCTTGGCAATTAGGGGAACGTAGGTCCCATAATCGTAATGTTTTGTCTAATGATCCTGAAAGAAACGTGTCTTCAACCGGTGACAAACATAAAGTCACCACTTTCTTTGTATGCCCCGGGAAATATCGTATGTATTTGTTATCATGTAGCGACAAATACCGGATAGTGTCATCAACTTTTGTTGAACTGTGAATAGCAGTGTTCTTGGCGTGTGTAAAATGTATAAGATCGACGCCGTATTTTTTACTATTGACTGTAATCATTTGTGTGCCCTTTTCGCAGTCATAAATTACTATTTGATCGTCTTCACTACATGATATTAAAGTCTCACCACTTGGGGAAAAGTCAATACTGTTTATTTTGTCTGTGTTTTCTCGAAACACCTTAGCCACTTTAAAACTTCGAACAACTTGGTCCACTAATTTCATCATTTGTAATAACTTTCACAAAACCACGGTGCTGCAGAAAAATATTCACTTTTGAATAGGTAACATACCCAATTAATATATTAGTTTGATCTCAGTAAAGCGCACACCATACCATTCACCATAGAATATAAATATTATTTTAAGTTTAAAGTATTATTTATGATTACAATGGCGATGGGACCACAGATAACTATAGAAACTAAATACAGATGGGACAGTCGAGTGTATTAGTTCGAGTGACGCTTTAAGTACAACACTAAGTATGTTAAGTAAATAAATTATGTAAACCGATCTAAAATGTTAAGCTACTAACTCGAAATGAGTCAAGTTACTTTTTTTAAATACAACTAATTTGACGAACAACAACGACAAATTAAACGTACATAAATAGATATACTTTGTAACAGTTATATATCCAATATATTTGTATTGCGTACGGAATTGTCAACAGTGACACCTGTCGCCCCGCGTCGCACTTATTGATTTATCCGAAGTAGATTGTAACTATAGTCTTGATGTCTCTTCGTCCGCCATCGGACCACTAGATGGCTTGTTTTTTCAGTATTTCTTAGTAATAATTTATCCTGTCAAATTGTATTGGTGTCAAATGTGTCCTGATATGGTATGAAGTGGTTACCTCTGAATTGAGTCAAGTTAACCTCAATGATAATTTGAATTCGATTGAGCTCCCATTTATGACTAAATAAAGAAGGGATTCTTTCTAGAAGTTTCACAAACCGAGCATATATAAGCCCGGCTTCCAGCCGCAAGGGACACTCTGGTGATTCTAGTCTTCCGATCTGAAGTAGCATTTTGATTGTCTGTTAATACATTTTTAGTAAATTCTGTGTCCTAAGTACCCACTTCAGTGGTAAGTTAATCTTATTTTTCTTGTAGTAATTTGTTTCTGCAATCTGAACGATTATACGAGTGTTAATCCATTCGTAGGGCTCCAGATTTCGGGTCAAGAGATACTTCTCAGACGGCGTGCCCTTTTGTTTGTGGCCTTCTTGTGCGTAATCGAGCTCCTAAGTACCATCTGATACACTGGCAGTCACGCGGCTCACAAGCAAGCGGTCAGCCTCACTGGAATGAGGCTGACCGCTTGTTGTGTTTCTCTCCCTTAGGTTGCCCACACGCACACATATCCGTACCCCTCTGTTGTCGACAAGGCGCCCTGAGGTAACCCAAATCTCGTGAATATCTCCGCTGGGTAAGCCGGTGAGTAGACCGCCTGACAGGTTCATCGGTTACAACTTTCTACGTTTCGTTTGTTACAGTTCACCTTCTGTCCTCATTCCTATTTTGGTTGGGGTCGATGTATAAAATTGCAAAGGATTTTAAATAAAGAAGGCGAATTGGATTACGATTTATACGGATAGTGGGAGGGAGCTAGGGTAAGATACACCGCAAAATAGGTAATGTAAGTGACTTAGACTGTAGTAGTACTAACAATAATGTAAGATAAGCCACGAATGGATAAATGAACATAATGAAACTAGTTAAAAGCCAAAACATAGCCCTCAAAGGCCAGAAACGCTTTTGTGACTCTAGAGTTGCAGAAAGTTTTTAACATTTCCAAAGCCTAAACATTTATAAGCGTTGAAGATAGCTTTGAATCTTTGTACAGCTATTTATGGAGCTAGATCAGATAAATACAAGACATGCTGTCATAATTTAAAGCCATATTGATTAATTTCTATCACTCTATGTTGTGAAAGATTTAATATGTTATGTTTTGACTGGGTAAAACATTTATTTCTTCTCGCAAGAAAGTTGCAAGCCCAGGATTCTTATTTTTAAATACTTTTCACAAACGTAGTAGCAGATTGCAATTTTAAAGAAAGTTTCAAATTTAACTTTTTTAATTAAATTGTTTCCCACTTTACTTTTCTATAATTGTATGCACTGGGTTATTTCATTGTTGGAACTAAAATTAGTCTGGGGATTATAATAAAATGGTATTATACCCGATTTTTAACCGTAGTCGCAAATCTTCCAATTCCATCTTTTTAATCAACATAATAAAATTTTGTGATTTTCTTGACCAAAAAGTCGTATTTAGATACCATTTATTAGGTATACTGTATTTTTAAACATAATACTGAAAGCCAATTATCGTAAAAATAGTTCGGTCTCAATTCAATTCTGATCAACTTTCCATCTCACAACTGTCATAAAAGGTATTTTCGTAAACATCTAACGTTGACAGTAACCGAAAATTGAATCGGTAATCTGCTAGTCTTAGTAAAACTCTACTATTTTACTACGAAAATACCTGTCAGATCGAAAGTTGATAGGACTTTTATTCCGAGAATTGGCCTTGCAAAATGATTGAAGATCTATTCCCTTTAATCATTTTAGAATAAGTCAGAATCAATAAAAAAATCGTTTTCATTTAAGTTGTGATCTCTAAATTGTTATGCAATGCATATCGACGAAAATAAATTCAATTATTGTAAATTAAAATTTAATTATTGGAAACCGTTATTTTGATTGTGACTCAGCTTTATCTCCATCGATTGAAATTATCTTTATTTAGGGATATTTCGTTTAAAACTTCGTGACATCTAAAAGAGGTAGTTTCGACAAAATGATTTATTCTATTTATTGAAAAATAATAAATTGAGTAAACGAATTTGATGAAAATAAACTCTTTTGTATTGCGAACACACAACACAACAATATTATGCCTACATAATCTATGGTGACTAAAACCAGAATGTAAAACCAGCATAGCATAGACAGATATACCTAGCCAGTAGCCACCTTTGCAAGCGCACATGTATATAAAAAACTGATTTTGGAAACAAAATGGACGGTGTCTAAATGGCGTTTCTCTCTCTTGATAGCGATGTGAGATATTATGCTGATTTGGGCATTTAATCATAGTGATTTGGTAGTTACACCTTAAAAACTATCACCACCGTTAAAGTATTCTACAAGCTGCAATAGTTTTTCATTAAAAAATTTCATGGACCTACATTTTTGGAATATGGTATCCATTTTGTGAACAACTTGTTGTGTGGCGTTTATAGTGCGAATAATCTTCTTTTATCATAGTGAAAAATTTACTTGTAATGTAAAAGTTAATAATATCTGTATTGATGACCCTCCGAATTGCTGCGTCTATTAAAGAATTAGGTATGTATTCATGATCGTACTCTGTACTTGTCTTTTTAATTTCATGTCTTGATTGACCGCTTAGAATACGCGTCGCCCACTTTGTAATTTTAATGATTATATTTGTAAACTTAATTTTGTTATCCGAGAAGAAAATACTTGTGTATATTATTTAAATTTCTTTTTGTGAAACCAGGTGCTCAACATAGTATAACATGATATACCTACTCAATGGAAGTTTGTTGAATCTTTAGTAGAAAGTTATTTTCTCAATACAGTATTAGTAAGACACCTTATTCTTTGCAACTGTTAAAATTCGATTGATGTTCTATCATAGAACGATGAGAAACAATTTACGTAAGTCATATGCAACATAAATATGTATTCTAAATGGGCACTCATTTTAAATTTTCTTCTCCCGTTAAAAGTATTATAAACCGTCATTCAGTATTGGCTTATATACTGTACTGTTATGATACTGTGTTTCATTACATTAATTGATTTGTATGTCCTTTGTTTAGACTATAGCTCACCAGCTGATTTTTAACCATAATGTAATAATTTTAATTATTATAGGCTTTCTGTACCTCGTTTTGGTTACTACTGTTACACATTTTAATTTTGTAAAAAACTTTAAAAAAATTACTAAAGCAATTCTTCTATCTGTAACTTTGTATAAAAAGGAAATTTAAAGGACTATCTTCACATATTAAAATATAAAGAATATATGACACTGGACACATGGTTAGGTTTCAAGGATAGTCATTATGACATATAGTTAAATTATTGATTGTATAAACGTTTTATTAATACATACTAAAGGGACATTGTTACTTTATATATTCTTCCCCTCTAAAAATCAATTCACTTAAAGATACTATTCACTTAAAGATACATAAGTACATAGATACATACTTCTAATTGCTGTCATTGTTTCAATAAGTAATAAAAATTAATGATTTATAAATGAGGTGATGGTTTAAACAATTATCCTAGTTATAAATAACTGTTTATTATATATAAGTTTGAACATAAAGAGTGTGTTAATCATTATTTGTCAGTACACCAATGACATTGTGAAAGTTGTATGAAGTACTTATGAAATACTTTCTCTTTAAAATTAATGACAAGGAATTATAAAAGTATGATTATTTTAAATCTGTTTAGTTATAAAAATAATATTGTTGTGATAATAGAGGTGATAAGTGTAAATAACATTTTGTTAAATATATCCTTATGGTTTTTCAAATTATAAATAGTATATAAATTTAGAGCTCTAATTTATTCTGTATGTATCAATAAGTTTTATGTGTTTATTTATCATTAAGCAATATTAATCAAGTACAAAATAGTGTAGGCATTCCTTCGAGATCTACTGTCAAGACCATGCTGTGTAACTAAACGGGAGAAGTTGTAGCGCTCTATGTTTTTGTAATTTCATAAGCGTATAGCTTTTCCCCTTGGTTATGCAAGCCTGATTCAACAATGCAGATATGAATAAATTAAACACTAAATATGCAAGTGCAGCAGATATTTTATTTGGGAGTGCAAGTATAGATGGAGGTTTCTACTCTTTTACAAAGATGTGCTGTCATAAATATATTTTTTTAATACCTAAACATTAGGTATATTTGATCATATAAAACTATAGTTTTGTTATAATAAAATACAATACACATACACTACATACATTATGATTATTAGTTGTTGAAGTTGATTGAAAAGTTTTAAATATTTGGTAACATTACAACATTCATCATTTTATTTCAATAAAAGTATATTAAAGATATGAATCAATTCTTATTTCAATGTTGCAGAGTAAGATGGATGGACCAAATATTCATTCGAAACTTGGTGGAAGAATAATCATAATTCACTCTTAATAGAGTGATGGACTCATATAATTTATTTGATGATGGAAGCGGTATGTTGGAAGGACTTACTGATCTTGGTGGATCAGACAGCTTTGCTGGAGGAGCAGCACCAGGAGTAACGGGAGATAACAAAGATACAGCTGATAATACGTAATCACATTTTTTTTGCACTAATATATATAAAATTTTCAGAAAAAACAGTAACTTTTTTCTTAGTTACAGGCAACCATACAGCCAAACCAGTGTGCCACAGGATGGATCAATTCAGAAATTGGCTCCCTTTGGAGGACCTGGTGCCATAAATAGCAGTGCACAGCCAGTTCCTAACCCAGGCACTGCTCCCTCTGCACCTGAATATCATGAGTATGGAAGTTATCCCCCACGTCCACGTCTGCCACAACCTCCACATGCTCCGCTGCATCCATCACATCATGTGCATCCTTCACATGCATATCCAGGCTACCATCCTGGGCCAGAGCCAATGTATGCTTTACCTGACCAACCAGGTAATTTAAACAAACATAAAATTTTATTTCCAAAAATATTCCTTTTCAATATTATTTTTTAAAATATGATTATCCTATTTTTTTAGGCATTGGAGAAATGGGAGTGTGGTCTGGACCTCCAAGTGCCAACAGATATTCTCCCATAACACCAAGCTACCGACATAACTATGATCATCAACAAAAAATGCATCAATATCCACCGCAACAGGTAAGTGATACCACTAAAAAATTAGAATTATTAGAAATAGTTGGATGTTTAAATAAATCAAAATATTTCATTTTTAAAGGGATCAGCAATTGGAAGTTTACAATCACAAAATGGGGCTTATTTACCAAGACAGCCTCACTTCTCACAGCCCACATCACAACAAATATATGGACAACAACAGGTACATATTATACACTATTTAGATATTTTATTTAAATAACTGATCAATGTATTATCTATGAATATAAACAATTCAAGTGAAATCATTAAATAATAATTTAAATTTGCATTTTTTTTCAATAATGTATAATTTTAATATTTTGTTGTTCTTGCAGAACTATCCTAACTACACACAGATGCATCCACCAGCTGCGTCAAGAATCAGCCAACACCCTACTTATCACCAACAGATGGATGTAAATCCACATCAGTATGGAATACCACATGGTCAACAAAGTCATGCACCAATACCACAACATCAGACTCACCAAAATATGGCTGGACATACTGGTGGCATGGGCTCTGGAATACAAAATCATCCTAATGTGCATCTTCATCATCCAGGAGCTCCACCACTACATCACGTTCCCAGACAATCTCCAGTGCCGCCATCTTCGGTAGCATCTTCACATTCAGTATCAGGCCAGATGCCTTTCGCATCTCCCCATCATTCTGTTTCAATGAATTATCAGACTCATCAAATACAACATCCATTAGATGTAAATGTAACTAATCAATATGGCCCTGTTAAATCGACTGGCATTGAGACTGGAAGTCCTCAATACAGACCACCATTTCCACAGCTTTCTCCACAGATGTCTCCAAGGTCTCAAATTTCTCCTCGGCAGCAGCAGGCACAGTCACAACTATCTCCTCGCCCAGTTATGTCCCCCGTTAAAGGTCCTAGTGCTTCGCCGCATAGCTCTCGAAATTTAGTGCAATCACCAGTTTCTACAGGTCCTTCAACTGCTTCTGTACAATTTGCATCACAAAATACTCTTCAGGCACTTGAACAAATGGTGTTACCTGCTGGATCGGAATATCCATATCAACGCAATCCTGCATCTCCTGCTGTACCACATGTGGTATCTTCGCCATCACAATGGAATCAAAATAAAATCCCTTCTGCAAGTACAGTGACCCAGACTGATAATAGTGAGCAGCCTGCAAAAACTTCGGAACCCACTCAAGTACTGCAACCCATTAAGCCAGAAATAGCCAAAAATGTGACTGCGACTAATACGGAATTGAAACCTATAGAGAAAATTGAATCTGATAGTGACAAAACGACTGAAAGTACATCTCTTACATTTGTACCACAAACTAATATCAGTAATATTTCGAAAGATAATATGACTAGTGTTGCGTCAAACAGCAATTCTTTGTCGATTGCTAGTAATATTAATAACCCTATTTCTGTAGAAAACACAGAAAAGACGCATGATAATTTTTCTGGGAGCAGTCTAATTACTGACAGTAAGATGGATAATTTACCCAAAAAAGAAGACGAAAATGATGATAATAATTTACAAAAATCGTATAACACTGATCATAAAGCAGAAACTGAACAAAAATGTAATGAAAATTCGAATTTACTAGAAATGCAAACAAGCCAAACTACGACATTGCCGCCTGTTACCTTAACTACCACAAGTTCAACTAGTGAACATCCGCAAGTACGAACATCCCAGCAAGTGCACATGCCTGCAATTACCAATACAAGTACAAGTCAGTACGAAAGTTTGCCAAACATGAACATTAGTAGATCTTCAGTTTACCAGGCAGCAAATATACAAAATATAGCAACAAATATGCCTAATATCAACATGCCCCAAGTAATTCCACCTAATATATCAACAAATATCCCATCTTCAGTTCATACTAGTGTTCCTCATGGCATATCCTCTGGTTTTCAAACTGGTTCTGCTACTGGGACACCAACGATTTCTAATTTACCAGCAAACTTACAACCAAATCATACTATTCAACATACAAGCCTTACAAATCCTGTTTCGTCTAGTATGTCCGTTCATAATTCACAAAGTGCTATACCACCCATTCCACCTACAATGCAAGGTAATATACAATCAAATATACCTAATGTTTCCAGTCCTATAACAGCAATGGGACAGCAAACTGTACCATCAAATATGACAAATGTAGTGGGTCATCCTATGAATGTTCAAAATTTACATACACCCATACCTTCAAATCAAACTAGCATTGTGCCAAATATGCCTCATAATGTAAATGCCAACATTATGATGATAGGACCAAATTCTATCCCACATCCCAGTATTTCTACTATGTATCCAGCTTCACATCACCAGGAACGAATGGCTCTTCAGCAACAAATACAAGAAATTTATTGCTTACCACCTTCTAATGAAAATCAAGAAAAGGTCAGATGTTTACAAGAAAGACTAGCTTTAGTACAACAACACGAGTCTAATGATAAATGCAATGGTGGACCAAATTGTACTTTGCAAAACCCTGTTCTATATGGTGCTAAAATGGTAGAAAGTCCTCAAGTCACTAGTACTACAGGGCGTGGAAGAGGTAAAGGGCCTGCTAAACCAAGAAAACCAAGAGCTAAAAAAGAGAAGTTTGTAGTTGCACCACAACCTTTAGATCAGCTGCCTGTATCTGAGGATTGCGTCACAGCTGGGACAGGTATACAAAGTAACTCTGAATTGGATTTAGACTTAAGTGAAGATATTACGAATTTAGATAGCAGTGCAATTTCTATTGATGATGTGAATGGTGGTAAGATCAGAAAACAAAGGGGGCCACGGAAAAATAAAGAACGAAAACCTCGAACACCTAAGGAACCCAAAGTTAAAGAATTAGGTGACAAACCAGTTAAAGAACGAAAGAAACGTGAACCTCGAGATCCAAATGCTCCGAAAAGAAAAAGGAGCTCAAAAAAGGATGCATTAGACATTCAAGCTGATACTACAACTTCCTATGAAATGCTAGATATTGATAAAGATGCTAAACCAAGTGAATTATCTATAAACCAAAGTATCTCCAATCAAGACACGCTTAATATGACTAAAACCTCACAAGACCTTAATTTAGATGAGACGAATGTTACTGATTTCGATGATATTCCAGTTTCTAAAATAGCTATTAAGGACCTGTTAGAGGAAGCAGAAGCAAAGCGAGAACAAGGTGATAAAGATGAAGATACGGATTCTATTTGCCAAAAAAGAAAATCAAAGAAACGGGCATCTGCTGGTGGTAGTTGTAAAAAAATGACATTGAAAAAACCTTTAGGCGGTGGAAGAAAAAGAAAGCGAGGGGGGTTGATTCCAGATTCTGACGGTGAACCGGATGATATGATGTCAACGCCCCCTCCTTCACCGCCACCAGAAGCGGATGACAGTCTAAAAAGACGATCTGCTAGAAATACTCAACGTAAAAAATATACTGACGACGTAATGCTACGTTTATCAGATGATGAATTCACTTTGTCCGCTCAAAAAACAGACAAAGAACCAAAGTCCGAAGATTTAGACGCCAAAGAAAATGTTAGACCTGAAGGTATGCCTAAACCTAATTATATTTACGTGAACACGACAGACGAAGATGCCATGATAGTTCACCATGTATTAGCATGTCGTATGGGAAAACGAGAACTAAAGAATGAACCTTTATCTAATGAAACCTTACCAAAACAAGTAGAAGGAGACGCTCCTGATTCTGAGCTCGATCTTGCTACTAGTGAGCCATGGACAGGAGACAATGAAGATGCAAGTGAGGAAAGAAAAAGTGTAAATAAGGCAGTACCTACACCAGATTGTGAAGTTAGGACTCTCGAACCCGCCAATGAGGTACAAAAGTCGGAAAAAAGTTCTAATTTTGAAAAAGAGAATAATGAACTTAAAAATAAAAAGCCTATCATGGTAGATGTTGAGGAATATTTTGTAAAATACCGGAACTTCTCATACCTTCACTGTGAATGGAAAACTGAAGAAGAATTGTATAAAGGAGATAAGAGAATATTTTCTAAAATTAAGCGATTTAAACAAAAACAAGCCCAACAACTGAATATTTTTGAATTATTAGATGATGAACCATTTAACCCAGATTATGTGGAAGTAGAAAGAATTTTAGACATGTCAGAAAATCAAGACCCTGCCAATAACACAGTTGTAAAACATTATTTAGTAAAATGGAAAAGCTTGCAGTATGAGGATAGCACATGGGAATTAGAAGAAGATATTGATGTTGATAAAATTAGACAGTATAAAACATTCAGCGAAATTCCGCCTAAAGAAAAGTGGAAGTTTAAAAAAAGACCTTCGGCGGATCAGTGGGTACAATTAAAGGAATCTCCCTTATACAAAGGCGGAAACACGTTAAGGCCCTATCAGTTAGAAGGATTAAACTGGCTACTGTTTTCTTGGCACAATAATCGTAATTGCATACTAGCAGATGAAATGGGATTAGGTAAAACCATTCAAAGTTTGACATTTGTAAATTCTGTTTGGGAATATGGAATTAGAGGGCCTTTCTTAATAATAGCTCCTCTTTCAACTATACCTAACTGGCAGAGAGAGTTTGAAGGATGGACTGAAATGAATGTAGTTGTTTATCATGGATCACAACAAAGCAAGAGCATGTTACAAGAATATGAATTCTATTATAAGAATGAACAGGGAGAACCCATTAAAGAAATAACTAAATTTAATGTACTTATTACAACTTTTGAGATAATTGTGACAGATTTCCAGGAATTAAAATCATTTAATTGGCGTATTTGTGTAATTGATGAAGCCCACAGACTCAAAAATCGTAATTGCAAGTTATTGGAAGGATTGCGGCAACTTCATTTGGAGCATAGAGTGCTGTTATCTGGAACACCACTTCAAAACAACGTTAACGAGTTATTTTCCCTCCTTAATTTCTTAGAGCCTTCTCAATTCTCAAGCAGTGATGCCTTTTTAAATGAATTCGGTCAACTTAAAACAGAGTCTGAAGTGCTGAAACTGCAAGCACTCTTAAAACCCATGATGCTACGACGTCTCAAAGAAGACGTCGAAAAAACGTTGGCTCCCAAAGAAGAAACAATTATTGAGGTGGAGTTAACGAATATACAGAAAAAGTATTACAGAGCTATCCTTGAAAGAAACTTTAGTTTCCTACAAAAAGGTACTGCATCTGCAGCTAACATACCTAATTTAATGAATACAATGATGGAACTTCGCAAGTGTTGTATTCACCCATATTTATTAAATGGTGCTGAAGATCAAATACAATTTGACTACAAGCAGGCCAATGGAGAGGATAAAGAGGCGTACTATAAAGCACTTATTGATTCATCCGGTAAAATGGTGCTTGTAGATAAATTATTACCAAAACTAAAAGCTGGTGGTCATCGAGTTTTAATATTTAGTCAAATGGTTAGATGTTTGGATATTTTGGAAGATTATCTGTTATTTCGAAAATATCCATTTGAAAGAATTGATGGCCGTATTAGAGGAAATTTAAGACAAGAGGCCATTGACAGATTTTCAAAACCGGACTCCGATAGATTTGTGTTTCTACTATGTACGAAAGCCGGCGGTTTGGGAATAAATTTAACAGCTGCCGATACAGTTATAATTTATGACAGTGATTGGAATCCACAAAATGATTTACAAGCACAAGCCCGTTGCCATCGGATTGGACAACAAAAGATGGTTAAAATTTACAGATTAATATGTCGTAATTCGTATGAAAGGGAAATGTTTGATAAGGCATCATTAAAATTAGGTCTAGATAAGGCTATATTGCAAAGTATGAACACTACACAAGGAAAAGAAACAGGCCCTAAGCAATTGTCTAAAAAAGAAATTGAGGATTTACTTAAAAAAGGTGCATATGGAGCAGTGATGGATGAAGATAATGCAGGTGATAAATTTTGTGAAGAAGACATTGAAATGATTTTAGCGCGTAGAACTCAAGTTATACAGATGGAATCTGAAAAGGGTTCAACGTTTTCTAAAGCTAGTTTTGCAGCAGCAGATCAAAGATCTGATATTGACATCAGAGATCCTGATTTTTGGAATAAATGGGCTAAGAAAGCTGAAATTGACACCACAGAGAAAAAAGAAGACGAAGATCTAATCGTCACGGAACCCAGAAAGCGCACAGTTATCAAAAGATATGGCCATGATGATGGACCTATGGAAATGTCGGATATGGAAGTTACCCCAGATTCTGATGAAGACGAAGAAGGTGATTATTGGTTAAATAGTAAATACTACTAAAGCATATATTAATTTATATTAAACATTTACCTCTGTTATCCAGGCATAAGTTTAAGAAGTAAGCGGAAGAAGGAAAAATTTGGCAAGAAAGGAAGAAGGTATGCTAGTGACGATTATATACCCCGTCATGAAGGTGTCCCAATAGATGAAGAAGTTGTTTATGGATCATGGACAAGATCGGAATGTTTTAAGATAGAAAGAGGTCTACTAACATTTGGGTGAGTGAAAGCCTTTAACAAAACAATTTGTCCAATTGAATGATTTAAATGGTAATGAAGTAAACATTGTATTATTGCAGTATACAAATAACTTGTTTAGATTATAACAATACATTTTCATAAAATAAATGTATTGGTGGTTAATGTAAATAACTAGTTGTCAGTGGAGATGCATTCACTACTAGGTAACAATGTACTGCATATCTATAATAAAACATAACAGGTCTTAAAATTTCTGAAAGCATTGGAGGAATCTTAGTAGGTGGTAGATAGTTATTTTTTTAAATTAGTGGAGTACTGTTTCTTATACTACTGTCACCTTCAAACACTAGCATCTGGATACCAGCCAGAATATTTTAAGTCAGTTGTAAAGATGACTTTGATAATAATACAGTCCTAAATCTTTCAGAAATGTCCTGTGACGCTATGTGTTTCATTTATTATCGTCGACTGTTTTACCCTTTTTTTTCCGTACGACTGTTTTACCCTCAAATCAACAATAGACAAGTTAATGAATGAATGAATTTTGTCAACATTAAGCTCAGCTTAATTAAACAAAACTAATTAACACAATTCATTAGTTCATTAGTTTTGGCCTTTAAATTTAATGTCATTAAAGTTAAAGGCCAAAACTTTAATGTCATTAAAGTTAATGGCAATTTTTAAAATAACAATGATTTTTAAAAATAAGTTATAAACAAAATAATAAATTTAAATAAAAAGAGGTGGCAGTGCCTTGAGATCTTATGTTACCAAAATTGACGGATAATTATAAGTGGATAAATAAAATAAAACACTCGCACTTCATTAAAGTGTCGCTTTTTAGTTCTTTCAAACTAAAATATAATATATTGAGTATTCACCCGTATGTAACAATAACAAATAATAAGCGATTTCCAAAATGTTACAGTTGGGCGCGATGGGAAGAGATAGTGGAGAAGAATCAGTTTAGAAAAGGCTGGACGATTCCTGTCATTGAAGATTGTGCTCGAATAATTGTACGTACTAACACTTTGATTAGATTACCTATTAATGTACAAGATTTTTTTAAACCGCAATTGGTCTCATTATAGTTCATCAAAAACAATTATTTTTAAATCATACTGAAAGTTAACCTGCCAATGCCAAAAATAGTTGGAGTATTAAAGCATGTTTTTTAATTACTTGATAAGCAAAATATGAAATTTGCTTTGCAGCATTTACAGTTATTGTAGTTAATGTGTGCTGAATTACATCTCACACTTTTTGGTTGAAAATAGGGGTCAGGGTTTACCTTATCAGAGAGATCCTCATGTGGAATTTGTTACTCCACTATGTCAGGTGATATTATGAATGATAGGGTCTTAGTCGCACAAAAAAAAATTGTGATGATTTGCCATGCTAATACTGAGAGCGTTAGAGACGTTCACTGAGTGGATTTAATTGCACTGAATGTTGGAATTGCTTCCTTTAAAAAATCAAATATACATAGAAAACAGAATTTATCCGCTATTTATTAATTACAGGTATTGTATTGCTTACGACACTACAAAGGCGATGAAAAAATTAGAAACTTTATTTGGGATCTAATAGAACCTTGTGAAAATGGTGAAGTAACAATATCCAGAAACCATAGTGGTCTGCATAATCCTGTGCCACGAGGTAGAAATGCTAAGAAGAAAAATAGACCAAAAGATTTGCCTAAACCTAATGATCTTCAAAAATGGGAGGATCTCAATCATTGGAGTTCTACAGACAAATATGATTGTGAAACATATTTAGAAAATAGTTATAAGAAACATTTATTTAGACATGCTAATAAGTAAGTAATTACAGATAATATAGGCTAAGCAGACTTCATCTTTTCTTTAGTGAGACTTTTGACGTTCGCTCAGCTCTTAGTTCACCGTCATGTGTATCGGCAGTCGTATTCAACCACTTAGACTTTGTCAACTCTTTATTCTAATAGATCAGAGATTTATTATACTTTTATTTTTAGGGTTTTGCTGAGAGTGCGTATGATGTATTATATAAAACATGAAGTAATCGGAGATTATGCAACACAAATTGAAAATGGACTTCATGCCAGGTGACTTCACTTGATTATTTGTTCTGTCTGGGTGTAATTTATCTGTAAAATGTATGTATTTAGAAATATATGAGTATGCTTATCAGCGGTCTGGTTACCATAGTAACCTCTGCCTAGTTTTTTTTAATGGAATAGGGGGCAAACGAGCAGACGGGTCACTTGATGGAAAGCGACGATTGGTGGTGCGAGGCAAAGTGTCTTGAAAAGCGCACAGTGGTGGAGCGCCAATTATCCAAGTGGTGGGGATGAAAATTTTGCCGTGTGGAACCATGGCGGAAGGTTGTGGCCGGTATCATTCCGAACAATTCCTCGGAGCACTCTCCATGATATATACGATAGAGAATGCAGAGCGAAGCTACATCTGTACGTAACGCCAAGGGATCGAGCCGGTTGCAAATCTTTTCGCTATCGACGATTCGAGTCGCTCTTCTTTAGATACGGTCCAGAGGGAGAAGCTGGTACTGTGGTGCCCCTGCATAGAGATGAGAACAGTATTCCATTTGCAGTCGGAATTGCGCTTTATAGACTTAGAGGCGATGGGCTGGAGTAAAATACTGCCTCGATCAGTTCACCACACCGAGCTTCTTCGAGGCCAATTTGACCTTACCCTCTAAATGAACGCGAAACTGGACTTCGCTCGATATCTCGATGCCTAGAATTGCAATACTTAGGGAGGTCCTCTCGAACCGAGGCGATACGACAAACGTTATCTTTAATTCGGTGAACGCCCAAACGGCTCTACCGATTTCGACGGGACTTCCACTGGCAGATAGCTGATGACATAAGGAGTAACTTAGGCTACTTTTTTTAGACTAGTTTCGCCCCGCGGCGTTGCCCGCGTTTATACCAACAAACGCGGGTAACACCGCGGGTTTCAGCTAGTGTTTTCTTATAACGTGTATAAATCCTAAGGAATATTTTACTTCTTTTTTAGCGCTTTGGGCATGCGTGTGCCACGTGGTGTCGATAGTACACCACCGCGACTTTGGTGGGACAGCGAGTGCGACGTTTCTTTGTTAGTAGGAACATACATTCACGGTTACGAAAATTATTTGGCGATGCGGTCAGATCCGCAACTCTGCTTTGTAGATAAACTAGGTCCACCAGATGACGCAGAATGTACAGACATAAAGTAAGTATACTTAATTAATTATAATTATAAAAAATGACAACTATATAACTATTCTATCAGACTATCTAGCTTTCATAGTGCAAGCTCTGCTTAGTTTGAAACTAGATGACGTTGTGTTAGACGTCCCAAAATGTTATTATTGTAATATTAATGTTTTAAATCTCAAGGGTCATATCATCTTTGTCAAATAATGCCTCTAATAAATATTAAACACTCAATTTATTTTTTTGGTCAATTTTTCTAGTTTTGGTAAACAGTGCTGTGCAAAATTGTCACTGCTTTCTGCTTGAAAGTTATTTTCCTATTCCTCGAGTACTTCTTTCTGGATGATAGGTACTTTATATCCTTCTCTCTAGAATCGTGTATAAAAATATGACGTAAAAGAAGGCGTAAAAGTGTATCAAACAAAGAAAAGAATTAAATGTAAAAGGGAGCTATTATTTTGTGAAGACTGATCCTGTAGTAGTAAAGCGGGTATGATGTATAAGTGTGCGATTTCGATCGATCCAGGAGCGAGGAACGCAAGGTGCGCGGTGCTGTGGGCCTTGGCGACGAAGACTGTACCGATGACGTGTCCAGTGGCGCTGGCGCCACGTCGCCCGCCGCCTCGCCGCGCCCTGACGACGACAGCGCTCAGGGCGGCGGGCCGCACCTCTGGCCCTCCATGCAGGACCTTAACACGCGCCTGCGCAGGCTCATCACTGCCTATCAAAGAAACTATAAACGCGAGGAACTCAAAATGCAACAGCGAGCCAAGGTGGGTGGTGACCTCATCATTACGTTTCCACTGGCGGTCAAACCCTCTCTGTCTGTTTAGACTTATGAGGTACAGTACTCGCCAAATAACTCTGCGTCAACAAAGTTCGCGCGAGAAAGGCAGCTAAATTACATTTTAGGTATCACAGGTAATTTCTGCGTATCGGAAAAAGACGGGGGGCCCCTTGGCCGCCGACGCGTTGCTCCACTGCTAGGTCAGTAGTTAAGTGATTTCACTGCTTCGCTCTAACGTACTGTTGTAATTATTGTTAAAAAATCTGTTAATATTGTATTTATTTTGTTTGTTTGTTATCTGTTTTGTTCATGTTTGTGAGTTGATTTTCTGCTATTAGAACTCCGATATTCTGATTTTTTTTTAAAAGACAACTCCCGCACTAGGAATAAATCCTGTGTCGCGGGGGACTTTACAAACATACATGAAACGGACACAAAGTACACCCAGACTCAGAACTTCTGATTCTGACCCATAATTTAATTAATTATACTTAATAGACTAAATTTTGAACATCATTCTAGAAGTGTCTATTCATTGATGATGTATTCCCTAGTAGGCCGGAGTTGTTACCAAAAGCGTGATATGTATTTTACTTTTTGCCTTAGTATCTAAAATATGTCCGTGTGGTGACGGATTAAGAATACAGATTGTCACCACCCCTATTCATCCCGTGGGTGTTGTAAGAGTTAACTAAGGGAAAAAACTACGCAGAACAACAACACTGCAGAGAGAAGGAAAACTTGACACAAACCCTATACCAACCCGTCTGGCCAGCGTGGTATAGTAGGCCAAAACCTCCTTTCTAAGGAGAGGCTTATGTCCAGCAGTGGACTATTAAAGGCTGTTGATGATGATGATGATGATCTAAAATATTAACGTCATCGTTCGCTAATAGATACACATGTACATTATATAATTATTTATAATCAATTAAATAAATATTTTTTTTATTGCTACTTGTTTGTAGCCTAATAATTCACCCAAACAATAGATAAAATGTTTTTACTCAGTACGTTTGTTTGCGAGTGTGTCGCGCAACAATCGGTTTGCAGCCAACTTCATTGAAGCAGAGTTATGTGGCGCGTGCTATATAATTTAGTTAGTTTCGAGGCTTTGAAATAGTAGTAATACTTTCTGTCTAAAGGTGTTGTTCTTTTGAAAGTATCGCTGTAACTAGGTAGGTAAAGTACAAAAACAATATTTCTAACAAATCTATATGATAATGATATTCTAGAGACAATCTAAGACTCGTTTTTGTAACAGTTTAATGATTAGGGGCAATCCATAAATTACGTCACACTTTAAGGGGCGGGAGGGGTTGTTGAAATTTAACAAGGGGTGGGAGGGGTCCTAAGTTTCGGGAACTAATATAAGTAAGTATTCAAATGCGAAATTTGAATTATCAACATTATTAATAATTTGTTCAAATGTTTGATTTGATGTTGAATTTATTTAAAAATATTTAAATGGAAATAAAACTAGTTTTGGAAGTGCACTTTTAATTTAAAAATTTCTGGATGTAATATTGCAAAGTATGTTACCACACACTAGGAAGGAAGGAGTCCTACTGTGACAAGCACGGAGGTTGGGGTCAAAAATTCGTACGGCTTAATGAATAAGAAAATTGTTGACATTATTATGTATATGAATAAGATTGCTACAACAATTTGTAATAAACGCATTATTTTGTCTTAAACAATTAAAGTTATTTGATCTTCTGCAGATGGAGCGCAGAGAGCGAATGGATCAGCTTGCTAGAGACGAAGTATCGCAGTGGCGGTGGTCTCGTGCCGATGAAGAGGCCTTCCGTCGTACAGTAGCATCGTATGGAGTCGAATTCGACCCAACTACGAAAAGTCTTCGTTGGAGTCGGTTTAGAACGTTAGCGCGTTTGGATTCCAAAAGCGATGATGCTTTAACGGATTACCTGAAAGCATTTATGGCCATGTGCAAACGTCAATGTGGCTTGTCTGTAGGTGAAGCTGAATTGCCCACAAGAGCAGACTTAAAAGCCGAGCCTATTGGAGAAGATAGAGCCATAGCTACACTTGAAAGGTACTGTATTACAGTCACTTATTTGAATTAAAGATTTTCCCTACATAATATAAACTGTTATCCATAACAATGATATGGTAAGTAACCTTTGTTGTGAGGGTTGTTGCGAATACCAGCATCTGCAGATTATCATAGGTTATAATATCAGCATCGGCATCCTCAACAACTGATGCTGATGTTGTCGTTCAAGTCGTTACGTGTTCGTTGAAGGCGAGACTTACCCCAGTCACGTGGAGTTTTAACTAATCATAGACACTTATACAAGAAAAGCATAACCCTTCCTTGGTAGTCGGCTAAAAAAAGTTGTCATTTGTTCCCTCATTCAATTGTTTTGTCAACGTAAATTGACTGGACGTTAGTGATATATTGTGTGACGTGCATGCGAAATGAGTGTCATAATCTAACAATAAAAGCTAGTAAGAAATCAAATAAGTAATCCATAAACCACTAAATAGTAAATAACTATCTGCATTGGGTCAGAGATTCCTGTCATCTTTGTTTTTTAAATATAACTTACCATTAATTAGATTCCAATATTGATGGAATTCTGTTATCAGCACACAATAAATAATCGTTTTTTTTTCTAATAATAAATATTACGTGCACGGCTAGGGTGACGAACGTGCACATTTTTGATTAACTAGCTGTTACCCGCGACTTCGTCTGCGTCGAACTACTACTTCGGGTAAATTTGTTTGTAATGAATAGGCTCTGAAACTACTGGACCGATTTTAATGAAGCTGGTATAAGGATACATTGAATCATTAGGAGTAACATAGGTAGATCCCTGACTTTTGCGGGTGAAACCATGGGGCAACTTATAAGGTAGGTAGTACTTAGTTTAACACGTTTTTGTATACAACATTTTCTGTTTTTCCTTCTTTGGTCAAAACATGTGGGTTTTGTGGACTCGATACTCGTGAGCACGCCACATACAGTTGCCCATGGGAAAAACAGATTTTTTCCAAATGTACACCAGCTACTTTGAGTGTCTGTTCTTGAGCTTTGTTGATCGTCATAGCGAATGCTGCTTTCAGGGGAAACGGTACTCTTTTAAATTGGAATGGCAAATCGGTAGGGATTATTGGAATACGGGGAATTAATACTTCTCCCTTTTCTGTTCCTGTCGTAATTATTGCTCTCACAATATTAAATTAGTAATTTGAAGCCGTGTGCCATTACACATTTTTGGTGCGTCAAGATTTCGCATCAACAGGACCGGGACACCTACTTTTAGCCTCAACTTATGGGAAGGCACCCCCGATAATTCTAAGGAGTTAAGAAACTCTACAGGGAACGATGTCACTTGCTCAGTGTCCATGACATTGTCTACGGACAGAAACTCAACGAAATCGCCTTCCACATCTAACATGATTTGTTCGTTGATCTGCCCCACTATTTCGTTTGTCGGTGCTAAAATTGCTCTTCTTTGTTCCTCATATTGGTTGGAAGATCTGGATAGACGTTGTTCTTTAAGTCATCTATGTTACAGACAACATTACAAAATTTACGTTTTAATGTAATCATACCGTCACTCTTTGTTTCCATACGATCTTCTCCGATTTTGACAAGCCGCATATTGCCCCAATTGAGCATCACTGTGCAGTTATACTCGCATATTTGTAGTTAGACAAAATTTTTTTACATGCACCCATAATGGAGATGCTTTTAAACATGCATACATCGTGCATTCATCCCAAATCAATAGCTTACATTGCTGTAACATTCGTCCACGGTCACTGTTTTTAGTAATGTTACAAACTGGCATTTCCTCATGAGCTAAGTTCAATGGCAGTTTAAGTACTGAATGTGCCGTTCGGCCACCATTGAGTAACGTAGCAGCTATTCCAGAGGAGGCTACAGCAACAGCAACTCCTTTATCTTTACGAATTTGTGTCTAAAAGCCCTTTTTTCGAATTAAAAAGTAGCCTATGTCCTTTCTCAGGTTTGTGTGACTATCTCTGTACCAAGTTTCATCAAAATCGGTTCAGCGGTTTATTCGTGAAACGTAACAGACAGACAGAGTAACTTTCGCATTTATAATATTAGTAGGGATGATTGTACCTCCATCCATATATATATATTTATTTTTTAAGACAGCCAGTTCCACAAGGTACTGATGTAACCTTAAAAATGCGTATATATAATTTTTGTACCATTTGTTCCATGTAATTTTGTACTAAAGGATATCTCAGTAAGAATGCACTTTTTAAATTTAGAATCTTTTTTGTCTTCGTGCAAGTGGCAATTTTGAAATTTGACAGCTGTCATCTATGTTTATTCCAATTATAAAAATGGAGCGCTTTTCAAAAGAAAACGCGTTATAATTGTAAAAACTTATTACAAAAATGGGGAAAGTAACGCTTAAACCGCTCGCAAACTTTGCCAAATTTTCAGTCGAGAAAGTGCACCTAACGTATCAACCATTCAAAGAATGGTCAAAAAATTTGAAGACCCTGGGTTGATTATGGATATTAATCATTCTTTGCGTCAACGTAACGGTCGGTATCTTAAAAACATTGCAGCTGTAAACGCGTGTGTATGTGAGTTTCGCCGAAAACCCGACAACATCAATTCGGCATCGTTCTTAACAACTTCAAATTACTCAGTGAATTTTGATAAAAGGAGCTCCACCTTCATGCGTATAAGATTCAGCTAACTCAGGAGCACGGCAATTCGTTCAATGGGTAATGGATCAAAGTGAGATCGATGCCAATTTTTCGAAAAAAGTCATCTTCTGCGATGAAGCGCATTTCCATCTGAAGGGCTACACAAAATTGACGAATTTGGGGAGAAAGAAGAAAATCCTTATGCAATCCGGATGCGGATTTTGGTCAGGCGGCGTGATTGGGCCTTACTTTTTTTAAGAATGAGGCCGAAATTGCAGTGACTCAGAACGGCATTCGTTATAGGAATATGATAACGGAGTTCTTGTGGCCTCAACTGGACTGCAAGGATCTTGACAACATGTGGTTTCATCAGCAAACAATCGACTTATTGCAGCAACGTTTTCCAGAACACATTATCTCACGAAATTCTGATGTCAACTGGCCACCAAGCTCGTGCCATTTAACGACGTGCGATTTTTCTCTTTGCAGTTTTGTGAAATCTTGGGATTATGCGAATAAACCAGAAACAATTCCTGGGTTTAAATCAGAGATCCAACGCGTCATCGGTAAGATACAGCCACATCTCTGTGTAAAAGTCTGGAAAATTTCATAAAAAGAGTAATGGCCTGTCATCAAAACCGTGTGGGCCACTTATCGGATATTTTATTTCATACTTAATCGGAACATGTCTTCTTTACAATCCAATAAAATATCACAACTCTTTCATAAAATACGTGTTTTTATTTTAAAATGAAAAAGTGCACTCTTAGTGAGACACCTTTACTAAACTTATTTTTTCAAAATAAGAAAAGGTAATCTAGGAAAACTACTGAACGTTAGAAAAACATGAAAACTGTAAGAGAGGTGATATTGTACATGGCAAATAAATAAAAAAATTAGCACAGGCGGTCCTTGTAGATGATGATAATATCGAAATATATTTTTTGTCTGCTGTGTGCATGTCTTTTGTTGAGCGATTCACGTAAAAACCGCTAGACGAATTTGAATGAAACTTTGGATTTAGGTCAACCGTGGTCCTGTGCAACATATAGGGTACATTTTATCACGCTGTTATCCCACGATACAGGCTTGCCTAGTGTAGGCTTAGTTACAGTTCGGGCAGTCATTAAATATTTATCTGATAAGAACACTAATTTTATGTCTTGTTAAGCACTTTTGATTTTTAGGGTTCCGTACCTCAAAAGGTAAAAAAGGAACTCTTATAAGATCACTTTCTTGTCCGTCTGTCCGTCTGTCTGTCTGTCCGTGTGTCACCACCGATTTTCTCAGGAACTGGCAGACCTAGCAAGTTGAAATTTATACCAGATACTTAGGTCTATGGTCCCTATTAGGTGTATAAAAATCAAGGTCCTGAGTCAACACCATAAAAAGATATGGGCAAATTTCTATTTTCGCGAAAACTTGTAAGTACCAAAATTTACCTTAATTTTTCTATTTTTCAGAATTTTCCCTACTTGTGCTGTAAGACCTTGCTTTTAACCAAAATTGTCAATTCTAGGTCAACCGGAAGTACCCTATAGGTTTTGGGTTTAAACCTATAGGGTACTTCCATTCACAACACCGCGATAGTCAAAGAAAACAGTCAACTTGACTTTTGATCGACTTTTTTGGTTTCGGTTCATTTGGAAGGCGTTACTCCGAAGCTTGTTGACTAGTTTGCATGTCAAACTCGTAAACCCACGTCTCGTCACCAGTAACAATGCGTTTCATGAATATTGGGTCGGAATTGACTCGTTCTAGCATGTCATCAGCGACCTTGATGCGATTGAGTTTTTCGAGAAAATTCAGGTCTTTTGGGACTAGGAGAGCGGTAACATGTTTCATACCCAAATGATTAGTTAAAATGGTACGGATCGACTCGTGAGATACAGAAAGTTCGGCGGCTATCTCTCTCAAAGTTGAATGAGGATTTTCCTTCACTATTACATAACTTTTGCGATGTTAACTTCAGTTGTAGACGTTGATGGCCTACCAGAGCGAGGCAAATCCATCACATCTGAACGCACTGAACGCTTTGTACCACTCATAAGCACGTGTTTTTGGTCGTAAGCCTTCTGTAACATTTTCAGTGACTCTGAACACGAAATTCCATTGGCGATGCAAAATTTAAGACAAACTCTTTGTTCGATGTTTTTGTAGATTATGAAATTCGCTATACACACTAGATATGATGTAACTAAAAACAGCACTGTATTTAATATAAATAACAGATGTAACTCAAACTCAACAAAATGGAAAACAGTAACAAAATTACACTAAACAGTAACAACAAACACAAAATATTGAATTTGGAACCATAAACAAATCATCCACTCCCGATACTTTTTTGACTGAATGTACCTTCCATAATCTTTTGTTTTTAATTTCACTGCTCTGGACTCTGTCAAATTGTTTTTAGAATTGTAGTTAATTTAACTGGGGCGGTAAATGGTTGATAATAGCAAAATGAAATAAATTTGAAATAATATTTTTTTGTGCAATATTTAAAAAAAAAAGTGGGTTAAGTTGCAGATATGTTAAAAAAAGATGTACGTATGTCAGGTATCCAACAAGGTAAAATAATCTAGGATAGTTGCAGAATGCACAGAAAAAACTTAGATGAATGTGCTTCCACGCCTGTCTGTGTTCTATCCTCGAGCCAAAAATAGTCTTAAGAAATCGTTTTTTTTACAGAATTGACTTATTGCGAGTATTACGCGAAGAGGTCGCACCACATCCCGCGTTGGATACACGACTAGCTTTGTGCGAGCGCTCACCGGACACACCACCGTGGTGGCAACCCGCTAGGCATGATAAATTGTTGGTTCTAGGAGTGTGCAAGTAAGTACAGTTCTTGGGTACGAAAAGTCTAATATGAACTGAAGAAAGTTAGTTATTAATTATATTTTTTTGTTTTAAGGCACGGTCTAGGAGATACATATAGCAAACTATTTTGTGACCCGAAAATGCCATTCGCTGACTGCGCTAGCAAGTGGTATGTAAATCATAAAAGTGCGAGTAATGACGCGCATAAAGTATCGTCCGACGAAGAGGATGGGGCTGCTGAAGAGTCGAATGACGGCCCTGCTGATGGACGTGTCGCTCTACGCCGCAGTAAGCGTACCTCCGCTGCTCCCGAACGCACCGCCGATGACGACACAGACGCATTGTCCGAACTCGAGACTCTTGCCAAACTCGGCCGCATCGAGGACTCACTGCCGCCCGAGCGCTGGTTCAGCGAGCGCGCTCTGGAGACGCGTCTGCACCACATCGCTCATGCCGTCCAAAACCGTGAGTGGCCCGCCGCTGCCACTAAGCCTGATGTGTCTGATGACCGTAAGCATGCACAGAAACGCCACATCGCCATCGATGTTGAAACTGATCGCGCCAAACTGCACGCTCTACTGTCGTCGCCGCAGCAGGCGCACTCGAGTGGCGCCACACCCGCGCCCGCACCTGACGCCGCACCTCCGCCCGCCCACCAGCGTGTGGCCGCGTCACCTGCGCCTCCCCCGCAACCCGTCGTATCTACTCCGACGACCGCCGCGCCCGTTGACCTGTCGGCACCGCTTGACCTCAGCGAGGCGCATGACTTTAGTGTGGCGCGCCGCTCCGAGACAGCGCCGACCCCCTCCCGTGGTCGCTTGGATGACACACTCTCAAGGCTTATGAAGAGAAAGAATGTGGTGAGTACCGTACCCTATTCTCTACTTATTTTCATGAAGCTATTAAAACCAAGTTGAACTTATATAATATTCATATTTTCTCATAACAGCCCGCGCCTGAACAAATAGTTGGCAAAGAAAAGAAGAGAAAGAAGTTGGATGAAATAGTTTTGGGATTGTCGGCGGCGAAGTGTAAAAGCCCAACGGCGTCGTCGTCGGAGCCACCACGGGGGCGTGGACCAGTACTGCCAGACGTTACGGTGACTCCAGCAGCACCGCCATCATCCTCTTCTGTTTCACCCGTTCAAAAACCGTTTTCAGTTACTGTTACTAATGTTCCTTCGCCCCAAGCTTCAGCTAAGGAACTATCGTCTTTTCTGCAACAGTCCTTGGAGCAATCAAAAATGCCAAAAGCTTCGTCAATGACACCGATAAAATCATATTCTCATGAAGCGAAAGTAAATAAATGGTTAGCAGAGCAGGCCAGTGTTGATACACGCCGACGCGGTGTAACACCGCGTCTCGCACCTGAAGAACACGTACCTGTGGTTCATCGTGTCACTGGGAAACGAATAATTGGACCTAAAGCACCACAACTTAAGCATCTCGCTCAATGGATTGCTGAAAACCCTATGTACGACATAGATTCCAAATGGACAGAAGGCATTAAAGAACATATAAAGTTGCCTCAGGATGTAAGAAGTCAAAGACATTCGCCTATGCAAAATACAAGCAGTATGAATGAACGCAAAAAAGGTCGGCCGCCGTCATTAGATGCGTCATCTGCAAATGTTCTATCTTCAAATTCACATTTGAATCAAAGTTTGGCAGGCCTGAACCCAGCCCTTTTAGCTAGTTTATCTAGTCTAAGCGCATTCGATCCTAAAACTTTAGCTGCAACACTTTCTAACTTAACAGGATTTGATCCCAAACTACTAAACACTTTTGATCCAAAGCTGCTTTCCAGCTTAAGCAGTTTTGATCCAAAAAATAATCCATTACTGAATTCTTTCAGTGGTATGCCAAATTTGTTGGGTAATATAACTGGTGGAAATATTTTCGCTAATTTGGCCGGTTTGGGACTCCCAGGATTTTCATCTTTGGATATAAATAATCTGAGTTCATCAAATGTTACAACCGACACAAAATCAAAATCTCGAAAACCTACTGAAAGTGGAAATCCCTCCAGCTCGAAGTCGACAAATTCACAATTTCCTTTTGTATTTCCTAATCCCAACATGTTATATCCGCAGTTAGGATTAAGTGGCCTGAATCCGTTCGGCATGCATTCTGGTATGTCGTCAGCCTATGATGCTCTAGGTTTGTTAAGCAATAACATTACAGCAAGCTCTGCAACCTCTACATTACAAAGTGCCAGTCACAGTGCATCACGTAGCTCTACAAAAACAACTACTCCTCGATCGTCGACTGTAGTCACAAATTCGTCTACATCTAGGCAACAAAAAGTATCTGATCGCCAACAATCAAATCAACTCCCACAGATACATTTGCCACCTGATCCATATCTTTTGGAGTCTCTTTCTAAACAATCTTTAAATTACGATGCGATCATGAGGCCTGACAAAAGGTCACGTGATATTGACAATCACGAAAGCACAGCTACTGATTTATCTAAGACTGATAAGAAAAAAATACCCTACGATACATTAAGGTCACACGTTCCCCCTGAATTTGTAGCAGTCCAAGAAAAGCTGCTAAAAGGTGACAAAAAAGACATTGATATTAGTAAAATGTTACTAGAACAAATGGCTTCTGGAGCCCTTAGTGCGAGCCTTGTTAGTTCAGTTGAATCCAAGAAATCCAAAGATGATAAGGATTCTTCTGAGAAAACAAATAAAGCATCTTCAGAATTCATTTCAAGATCATTAGCGTCTGATGAGGGAGCTTCTGGTTTGTCTTTAGCTCATAAGCGAACTCATGATGAAATTTCTAATGAACCACAAAATTTAGCACTTCAAACACCTGAGCTGAATTCTGCAAAGAAAGTAAAGGAGAGTACTGGATCTGAAAAAATCTCAACAATCGAGAAAGCAACTGATCACTCAACACATACTGGAGAAATGGACCTTGAAGATCTGATAGCACCTTTAACGGTGATTAAAACAGGCATAAAAGGGGATTTTGATAGTAGTACAGTTGCTAAAATGACGCCAATAGAAATGACAAGTACGTCGACACCAAACACCGACAGAGATGACAAGTCCCAGTCGAAAATAATAGGCTCCTACCATGATAGCACTATTCAAGGCGATAGTAGCTCACTTAATGATGAGTGTGCTGTAAAGTTAGACAATGAATTGAAAGACACTTGTTCGCTTGATGAAGCTGGTAATGCAGATAATGATGCTGCACGCAGATGCAACAAAAAGAAAACTCGCAAACCATCAGAAGAAATGCAACCTGCATGTCCACGACGGGAATTGAGGTCAAGTTCTGGACGACAATCAACTGATTTAAATACAAGTCATTAACCTGATTCTAGGTAATAAAACTTGAACACATTGTTCGAAAAAAATATTAAATAGCAAAAACAATTTACCAATCCTTCTGAATTTCAGCTTTGTCTACATTGAGAGTTAGATTAGTTATAAGAATAATATTCTTAATTTAAACTTGTATGTTAAAAATCAAAAGACTGGATATATCACATACAAATCCGAAATTAGTGATTACTTTCTTATAAAATCTTTTTTTTTGTCAAAATATGATTAAAATGGTAATCACGCTACGGTTTTTTTTTAATGCACTTTATGCACAATAATGTCCTAACAGTATATAAATGTGGATTAGAATTTCATTATGTAGTTTATACGATAAACTATTGACACTATAGAGATCTCTTACGGATAATGTAGTTCAATATCTACTTGACTACTATTTGTTTTAAAATAAGTTAGAATTGTCAAGATAAGAAAGCGAAAACTGTATTTCGTAAAATGCGTTACATTTTTTATTCCTGATTTTAATCTTTTATAAATTTAGGTTTTACTATAAGATTTAAGTCAAACACTGAATGTGATAAAATTATTTATTACATGTATTCTTATTATTTTACACTGCTCTATGATTCATTGTATTATATAATTATGTGACAAATCATAAAATAAACATAGAACTGATATTGGAATTATTTTTAATATCATTTACCCATCATTTATTTTCTTCGTTAATAGGCTGCTCAATATAAGTATCAGTCTGTGCGTCCACCGCAAAAAAGATACCATTTGTCGTATCATCTGTTTGAGAGCACCTCCCTAACTGCCTCAGCCAATATCGGAATCCTAGACATCGACATCGTAGTCCAGTTTCGGGGTCACTTAGAGGGTAAAGTCAAATTGGCCTCGAAGTAGCTCGGTGTGCTGAACAGATCGAGGCAGAATTTCACTCCGGGCCACCGCCTTCAGCTCTTTAAGGCGCATGTGAAATACTTATCTCATCTCTATGCAGGTGCACCTCAGTACCAGCTTCTCCCTCTTGACCGCATCCAACGAAGAGCGACTCGAATCGTCGATAGCCCAAACATCTCCGTAAAAATACGTACGTAAAAATGTGGCTTCACTCTGCATTCTCTATCGCATATATCATGGAGAGTGCTCGGAGGAATTGTTCGGACTAATATCAGCTGCAACTTTAAGCTATCGTTCCACACGGCAAAATTTTCATCCTCATTACCTGGATAGTTGGCGCTCCACTTTTTACCCCGCACTACCAATCTGTGGTCTGCGGTATTTCCGGACGGATACGATCTTCAAGAAAAGAGCGTACTCCTCCCTAAAAGGCCGGCAACGCGTTTGTGACTCCTGAGTTGCGCCATGGGCGGCGATGGTCACTTTCCATCAGGTGACCCGTCTGCTCCCTATAACATATAAAAGTATGTGAAACCTGTTAGAAAGTTATCTTCACGTGCATTTAAGGTATAGTCGAACAAAAAGCAGACCTAATAAAAAAGTGAACTTTATGATCTCAAGTATTGCGAAGTGATTGACGGCCCATTATGAACATAGGACTTATTGCGTTCCTAAGACGAATGCCATAAAAAAGGGATCACCAAGGGTCCAGCAACAATGTACTGGGTGATCGCTTTTTTGTAACCACCTAAACATGGTCGGGTTACCACGGTCTTTTCACCTTCTAATGACTTTTATTTAATTATCTCGTAAATTATTATATGTACGACGCTGAAATTTTACAGGTAGACAACTGAACTAAACAACTAATTATTGGCATAACATTCAGTTTATATATCCACACACAGCTTTATCGGTGGCCAAAAAAGGCCGCACACATTGTAATCGTGAACGTGGAGAGCCACATTTCATCATAACTTTTTAGTCACTTACAGTCTTCGATCAACAAGTGTGCGTTACCCCAGCAAAATAATGTCGAAAATGGTCATTTAAACGTTATAGATAATTAGTTGCTCCCCTTCTGTAATTGTTAGGCACATTTTCAAATTTGTTTCACTTAAACTTTTTTAGTTATTTCAAAAAAACATTTCCTGCTGGGGTAACGTTTGAAACGTTACCGCAGCCAGACATTTTCTTTTTTAATTGTAATATTGAAATAAATTTTAGCTAAATAATTAGTTATCTGGACTAGGTAAATGTTACAACTTATTTGGTATTTGTATTTTCTTCGGCTGCGAAGTTATTCGAAATCCTGCTGGAGTAACGTTTGTGGGTTTGCTGGATCTCTGAAACGGGTAAGCGGATTGTAACCATCTTTTGTACATAACTTCTTAAGGATTAGTTTTAATTTGTTCGACAATAAAATAACAAAAATTATGGACAGTTTAAAAATTATTTAGGTAAGTATGAAAACACTTCAATACGTCCTAACACTTTAAATAAGACCTCTAAAGACTTAAGGGGTTAGGGGTAGTCAGAATTTTCAAAAAATCGATATTTTTTTTTGCATTTTCTTAAAGTATAATATTTTAAAAATATTGTGTGAAAATTTGAAGTGAATCCGACAAATTCTTTTCGAGTTATTTAACAATGACCAAAGGACGCTCGGGTGCTACGTGGCATTCGAGAGCAGGTAGCTAGAAACAGCTGCAAGCAACCGACGATAACACCCGAGAAGGTCGATTGCAACGTAGGCACCAGCAAATCGATATTTTGGAAGCTGCTATGACGGCTGAAGAGCTATTGTCCAGGAATAGATGACTCAGTGTAAGTTATTAAATAATTCTTATAATTCGACATAAATCCGTAGCAAAACTTTAAATGCGTTTTTCTCAAAACTATGTTTTCTGAACTGGTGATCACTGTAACTTAAAAACTGCTCGGTAGATTTCAATAAAATTTCTTGTACTTTTGAAATACATTAAAAACTCGTGCCTGATCGAAGGATTTCTTTTTTTTTCAAAAATTTCGATTTTTTTTTAACAATAAACTGTCGGTTTTTTTCTCGAAAATTTGAAAAAAAATTCCTGAGGCCGCCATTTTGTTAATTTCGAAAAAAAAAAAGCTTCGATCAGGCACAAGATTATCTATTAATAAAACTAATTTTTCTTGTCCGATTGATTTTAGATGAATCTCCAAGGACTTATGATGATCACCGCAAAGGACTTCGGGAGGAACGGGCTCTACAAAAACAGCGATAACTTTTTGAATTATTAATTATTTTTTTTGAAATTTTCGTGAAGTCAAATCGAAACGTGTTCTAATAAAGGTATGTTTTTATTTTTGTCAAATAAAGTAATTAACTACAATTTTTTTTTTATTGAAAATCATCATTTTTTCAGGCCTCTGAGTACCCCTAACCCCTTAATTGAAACGTTATTCTATTGCTTGTAACTACCTTCAAATGTATACGAATTTTCGTAAGAATACTGTAAGTGACTAAAAAGTTATGATGAAATGTAGCTCTCCACGTTCACGATCACAATGTGTGCGGCCTTTTTTGGCCACCGATAAACCTGTGTGTGGATATATAAACTGAATGTTATGCCAATAATTAGTTGTTTAGTTCAGTTGTCTACCTGTAAAATTTCAGCGTAGTACATATAATAATTTACGAGATAATTAAATAAAAGTCATTAGAAGGTGCAAGACCGACCATGTTTAGGTGGTTACAAATTGTTACAAAACCAAGGTTACAAAAACAAGGTGGTTACAAAAACTGAACTAAACAACTAATTATTGGCATAACATTCAGTTTATATATCCACACAAGGTTTATCGGTGGCCAAAAAAGGCCGCACAAATTGTGATCGTGAACGTGGAGAGCTACATTTCATCATAACTTTTTAGTCACAGTATGCTTACGAAAATTCGTATACATTTGATGGTAGTTACAAGCAATAGAATAACGTTTCAAGTAAGTCTTTAGAGGTCTTATTTAAAGTGTTAGGACGTATTGAAGTGTTTTCATACTTACCTAAATAATTTTTAAACTGTCCATAATTTTTGTTATTTTATTGTCGAACAAATTAAAACTAATCCTTAAGAAGTTATGTACAAAAGATGGTTACAATCCGCTTACCCGTTTCAGAGATCCAGCAAACCCACAAACGTTACTCCAGCAGGATTTCGAATAACTTCGCAGCCGAAGAAAATACAAATACCAAATAAGTTGTAACATTTACCTAGTCCAGATAACTAATTATTTAGCTAAAATTTATTTCAATATTACAATTAAAAAAGAAAATGTCTGGCTGCGGTAACGTTTCAAACGTTACCCCAGCAGGAAATGTTTTTTTGAAATAACTAAAAAAGTTTAAGTGAAACAAATTTGAAAATGTGCCTAACAATTACAGAAGGGGAGCAACTAATTATCTATAACGTTTAAATGACCATTTTCGACATTATTTTGCTGGGGTAACGCACACATCAACAATAGCAACTAGATAAAGGGTCACGTACAAAGTCAAAGCTAAATGCTGTCCGCGTAAATATATACTTATGCAGCTACATTTGTTTACCAACAAACGGATGGAAAAGTTTTAAAATAGTTTTAAGTTCAACCTAATTACAACTATGGTACACAGTTATAAAGTCACAAATTTTCAAAATATTATCTAATACTTACGATCATTCCTTGCAAAAAACGAGCAAAGGAATAAATTACTCCTATCACTTTCAAACGAAAAGACATAACTTTAATAACATTTAGTGTAAAATCAACCTTATTCAACAACAAATACTCGTAAAGTACTTTATCTCGTTATTGCCTTGAGAGCTACATCGTTTTGTTTTGTTTATTTTTGCTTCTTCGAGTTCTACTACAGAAGGTATGGAGTCGCGTTGAACACTAAAATAATTTGTAATATTAACGTAAAATATTGGTTGCTTACTTTTTATGTTTCGGACATCTATGTATGTTTGTTAGTATCTTTACATTACTTATTATTTTATTAACGTTACGTTTTTGTGTAATATGTATGTGTATTTACTTTATCACATACATATAATGTGGTATTTACAAAAGCCATTTAGACGGATACAGTATAAGTCGTTTCAAAATA